AAATCAATGAAGAAGACAAGCAGGCTGTCTAGTAAAAAGAAGTCTGATGGCAATGAGTCTACCTCTGACTCTGGGCCTGATTCAGACCCAGAAAACAAACCATTGAAGAAGACAAGCAAGCCATCTAATAAGAAGAATTCTGGTGGCAATGAGTCTACTTCTGATTCTGGGCCTGATCCTGATTCAGACTCAGAAAAGGAATCATCTAAAAAACCAAGCAAACCTGTCCTGAAAAAGAAAACTGAAAATACAAAGTCTTGTGCTGATGTAGGGCTTGACTCGGATGTAGATTCTGAACAAGAAAATCAGAAGAAAAATGTAGAATCTACAGACTCAAGTAAAACAAAGAAAAAGAAAGTGGAATACACGGTTAGTGAATCTTTTTGATTTTCTATTCAATTTTGAACTTTCTACTCTTGTACTCTGATTTAATTCATTAAGGTCTAAAGATCTATCACTCAGGAAACTGATATTTTTTTCTTTTCAGGACCCTCATAAAAATCCTACCATTATTCGGTTGAAGAAATATGTCATGGCAACTGGTCAGCGTGTACAGAACTATTCGAAATTTTGGGATGGTTGTAAAAATGACAATCAACGTTGTCAAAGACTCAAGCAATTTCTTACAAATTTAGGAATTGAAGGTGGTTGTTTTTTTTGTTTTCGTTTTTTAAACTTTATTATGTTTTTTAAGTTGTTTGTTTGTTTCTAATTTTTAATTGTTTGATGCTATTACATTACAGGTCGCCCAACCATGGAAAAGTGTCTGAAATATAAAAAGAAGAAGCAGATTGCTGAAGAAATGGCTGATTTAGAGGATAATGTTGTTATAAACCCAAGTAGGTGTTTTTATAGTGATTCTTGACCCTTTTGGTTGGTAGTTATAACACAAGTCTGAAGTGCTTTAATGACACACTATTTCTTTCTCAGATGGGAGAGCACTACGCAGAAAGAATGAGAACGTGATGTCTCCTGTACCATCATCTGAATCTCAGAAAGCCTTTCAACGCATTAAAGCTATGTTTGATTCTGACTCAGAGTGAGGTAGCTACTACTACCCCATATTTTTCTTACACAATATTAGTTTTTAAAGTATTCTGTTAAAATATTTT